ATCTTTAATTTAACTCTTTGAGCATTTTGCAGAATGAACAGGGGTTGTGCATGTCAAAGAAGAAGACAAATTTGAATGATTCAGTTTAGTTAAAAAGCAGGAATATATCAACTTGCTATCATGTTAGTAACCACAAAGATAAACTAAAATTCCTGTTGCTGTTTATATTTGGTTGTACATGCATGAGAAACTGCAGACCTGATCAAAGATCTGTAGGCATTTAGGTAACACATACACTCCCTTTACCTGCTGAAGACACAGGAACTTCCATAATGATTTACTCCTCAGAGGAGATAGCCAATATTTAGGTTCTGCCTTTCCTCAGGGATTCATTTAAGAAAGAGTAACATTCTTTCCAGCTGATGAACAGCTCGTGGGTGCTCTGAGCAGCAATCCCAACATCATCTGCTCTGAGAAGGAGCAGAAAACACCCCAGAGGCACTTCACACACATGTGGCAGAGTAAATCTCAGTTGCCTGTGGTTCCCTAAATAGGCTGGGAAACAGCTCCTCTTACTGTGATGCCAGCCTCACACCTATCACCACCCACCTCAAGACACCCCTCCTTGAGGTGCCTCAAGCACCCAGTTACTAGCAGTGGGAATTATGTTTCCCTAAAGGTCCTGCAACGTGCATGGAAGCAGAACTTGAAAATTTCCCACACTGTAGTGCAAAGGCTTAGTTTCATCATCATTAAGTATATTAATGTCAGTGAGCTACAGATGCTGTCAGTTATACAGTTTGGGAGTTATCTCACATGAGTAAGGTAAATGACCTTTTTTATCTTTGTGTTCTGGTCACATTGACTGAGATCATGAATTGTTATAACTCGTTTCATTAAATCCTGAGATATAGTAGCTGAGTATCTGGATCCCTTTAATTAAAGTTTATATGGCTTCATAATTTATACAACAAAAATTTGAGCTGTCTTTACCAAAGTTCTGCAAGAAATAAAGCCCAACATTAGCAATTAAAACTGAACAGAGGCCACCCTAAGTTTGAGTCGACAGTTGACGCTAAGAAAAAGTAGTCTGAGTCATGCCATTATTGCTCAAAGTCATTACATTTCACTGTCCTATTTTTAGACATTTTTTAAATAGATGTCAAGCCCAGAGACTGAAGATTGAGGAAAGTTAAGATGAAAAAGAACATTGAAGTTTTTCATTAGAAGACTCATTTTAGAACAGGGAGGCAAAATTTATTTGATTCACAGGTTAAATTGTGTTTAGGTAACCATCTGGAATGCTGTTGGTTTTAAATTTTATCAACATCTTTCTTTTTATTTCATTCTACAAATCATTCCTAATTCTCCTCTTTTGAGTCTGCCATGGTGAATTTCCTGGTTTTGAACCTGCTTTCATTTTGTTTCTACTTTTCCCTCCTTTTTATCCAAGTGTGGAACACCTCTAATGCTGAAGACTGTCAATATAGTCCGCTGAGCCCTTGTATTTTCATTCCCATACTACCTATGATGCATCTAAAGCAATTGCATTTCTGCAAAATAATAGAACTAAAAGAATATTTCATGTTTATCAGGCATATTGATTACATTTAGCCAATGGAAATTAAGAAGAAAAAAAGTTAAAAGTTATCCAAAGGATATTTCCACTTACAGTACTGTCATCATCAGTTTATATAATAATCAGACAAAATAAAGTTTCCCTTGTTTATTTGGCCATTTTCACATCAGTACAAGTGAGAGCAGCTACAGTAAAGTCAGTCGCCAAACTGCATTTGGCTCACTGCATCCATGAAACTGGTCCTGAAACTGGCTGCAAAGTAGGCTGAACTTTTTTTTGAGGGTCTGATTATCTTGCAAAACTTTCAGCACTTCCTTTTTTCAGATTAGGCTGTGAAGTGTGAGAAGTCTGCTCTCATCCTTCCTTCTCCCCTTCACCACCCTCAAGCTTTCAGCTGTTGCTTAAGATTCTGACTTAACAAGGAAATTTGAAGGAGTGCAGCATAACTAATAATTTACACCAGGTTGAAATAGATCCAAGATAAATGGTGAAGAACTTTGTCCCAGGACAGCAAGGGTGTATTCCCTTCTGGGTCACTTTGGACAATTCCTACCACCTCTCTGTACTGTCCTTCTGCTGCCCTTCCCCAGATAAATGATACATTCTTCAAGGGAAGCCCTATTTCTTGACATGCATTTTCAGCTGACAGAATTCATCTTGCCCAAGTTTAGACGCTTCAAAGTTAGACATCTCTACTTGAGATGATCCTCTTACTGGAGAGAAATCTCCAGGAGGTGATTTGTTTGATCAGCCGTAGACAGCTACTCGAGGACTGCACAGAGGTCTCCTGAATCCAGGCTAAGACATCCAACTTCTGGTCACGGACATGAGAGCAGGTTAAGTGTCTCTAATACAACCTGTGTGGCCATTTAGACGCTTAATACAACCTAAGTAAAGTTTTTCCTGAATTTGGTTGGATTTGCTTTAGTTGAGCAGATTTACTCTTCATTTCAAAGTCACAATTCATTAAACACCCAAAAAGGGGAAAATGATTTTGTGCTGCAATATCTCCCTTCATCCCCTAAAGCTGCTGCAGCCCATGCAGCCATGCAGGGAGGTGAAGTAGGGGATTCCACTTATGCAAAGGGGAGCAGCTGCACTGAACACCCTCTGAAGAGGGGGTGCTTGGAGACATCATGCGAAACTGAGCAAAATGACAAGTATTTCCTACGACATGTGGAGTCCGAGACTTGAGAAGCAGCTTCCCCTTAGCCTACACTTAATTTTTTCCTGAAAGAAACATCAAACCAATAGGTTTTGAACACACCTATATAGTCTCTGGTGAGACTAAAAGTTAATAGATCCCAATGGGTATGGATGCTTGATCAGCAAGGTCATTTTGCACTCGGCTGTGCCTGGTTTTGCAAGTGCTCCTTTACTGAACTGTGGTATAATTATCACTTGCAGGAAAGAGTTTGTTCAGTTCCCAGCCTTGTGCTGACAACAGCCTGCCGCCCTGTGCTGCTTCCCCTGCTTTCACAACTCAGCAGAGTCTGTCCCTTGGAAGAAGGCCAGTTGCAGGCAGATATGACCACAACATTGCTCAGCCCGGATTACCTATTATCTAGATAGGCAACACACTGGTACAGTCCCAAGAAGCTTCCAAAAGTAACAGAATGACCATGAAAGAAATCCTGGGCCTCTGATCATTTGCTCACAACTTAGTGCTTCAAGGTGGCTTTGCAGCACTCTGGTGACACAATCCTCCTGTGCCTTTGTGCAAAAGGATCCTGACAGAGATGTTCCTTTTCTCTTTTGGTGCAGGGAAAACATTTGCTAGGGAAAATTTACAGTCTTGTGCACTGGCAGTACAGCTCTATAGAGGTGAAGGAACTCAGAGTGACAGATTAAAACACAACACATCAACGCAAAGCACAGCTCAAGGGCAAACCTCACCTTTTACTGACCTGGTTTAGAAACTTCTAATTTGCACTAATTTTCTTTGCGTGTACAATTGTGTACATACTCATGCCTGCATTCGTCCAACACGACAAGTTACCCTGGAGCCTAGTGCATAAGTGCATCTCTAGTAAGTGTTATTCCCCAAGACTGGTGGTCAGATTTCTCTTCTCCCACTCTGCAAAGGTGTTGGGCATTCTTGAGGTTGAGGAGCATGCTATGGGTCTTAAATCTAACCTTGGTTTTTTTTTTTTTTGTTATGTTTCTTCCACACAAATGCATGCCCATTCCAGAATACAAGTTTTGGCTTAAATTAGGGAGTTGTGTCCTGATTATGTCTAAAACAGTGTGTTGATTACTCCGTGTTAGATCTTGCTTCTCCACAATGATAACTGGCTTAGCCCAGATGTCAAACTTTTAGAATGACCCAGGTAAGATGGGCTAACTGGGAGCAGCTTTATAATATGACTTGGGATAAATAAGTCTAGATTTTTAAATTTACTTTAATTTAAAATTAGACATCTGAATTAGCACTCAATCCTGTCAGTTGCCACGGCAGTACTGGAATAACTTTGTGTATAGCTCTCCAAAAGTCAATTGCTCCCTTCGGCATTGCAGGGAACATATTGACTTTGATGTGAAATTATACATTCAGGATATTCTTGTGAGAACCACAAAAGTGACTCAAGAATGCAAGACCCCACTGCTCTTATTGTAGACCATGCTCTTAAATCACTTTCAGGCTTTGAAAATTCATCTACATTTTGGACATCCAAATTTGAGAGATTTGTCCATGACCGTGGAGGCAAAAATACCAAGTGTGATTAAATTCTTTAGATACCAAATAGTAATTATAGGTTTGGGGCACAGAGGGGCATTATTGTTTTTTTTCCTTAGATCAGTGGTTTTTATTTTCCTTTCCCTTGGGGACAAATTGTCTATATTTAGAACCAAGTTTTTATGGTGGAGGGTTTAACTGTGAATGAATATAACTGTCTATACATCCACATACATGGACTTAGCATCTGTACATACATGATTGTTAAAGTCCCCATAGTTCTAAAAATTATTTCATAATTAAATATAAAATAACAAAGGGAAAGGGTAGACTGCATAATGGAAACACGTGGTGTGATGTAAGTATTATTTGAATACAGTCTTGTTCTGAATTTGTCAGCAACACTTGCCCTGAACTCAACAGAAGCTTTGTGTAAATAAGCAATAAAGAGCATGTACTGTTTTATAAAGTACAAGAAATTTAATTTTATGAAACAGGGAAATGAAATCTTCTTGTCTCCTTAGAAAGTACTTTATTAAGTTAATATTCTAACTTAAACCCGGTTAGCTATGGTGCAATGCTATGGCTGCAGAAGTACAATAGTTTAATTGTAATGTGGTCCAAATCTAGATGGCATTGAAAATATCTTTTTAACCAACCAGTTCCTGCCACAAAAACACACTGTAAGTTCAGCAGCCGTTGAAATATGAGCATTAAAATAAATTATTAGTGACCACACAATTAAGCCCTGTTGTGCCATTGCTACTCTGGCACACGCCAGCCAGGAAGCAGGGAGCTGCCCACCAGGCTGGCACGGGCACTTGGGCTGTCCCCAGGGCTGCCACCGCCGCTCTGAAGCCCTGCACCTGCTCCCATGGTCTCTGAACCCAGGCCAGACCCTACCAGCTGGTTGTTCCCACTACTGAGAAGCAGAACGATCCCTGAGGCAGGTACTTGCCTGTCCCCGTACTCACCCCCTGGCTCCTTACCCATACCGCGGTGGTAGATGTGGCTGGAGGTCAGCAATGCCGAGGGAAGTGAGCAGCTGGGGGTTTCACAGATCCTGCTTCCCTCTCCATGAAGGGTGGGGGCAAGGTTTGCCTCTTAAGGAACTACTAGAAATTTGGTTCTACGTTTGACTTTCGATGGCTGTTAAAGACTATTGCTCACAGCAAAGTTTGCGTAACACCACCTTCCTCTCACAAACAAAACATGTTTTTTGGCAGTGAGGTGCAAATTTTAGCTATTACTTTAACAGCTTTACAATTCTTGGAAATATACGAGAAAACCTGCCCCAAAAGCTACAGCATAATATTCCATGTACCGAGACAAAATTAATACGAGATGAGATGACTCTTTCATCACAGCAGGGAGACTCAAGAAAAAAATCCCTGAATATGGATCAAGGTTCTGGGTTTTTAAAAGGGCAACTCAGGTGTATGTGGTATTGAAGACATGTTTATCTTGGATTGAGATTAAAAAGTTCTGTAATCAGGGTAGGCTCTTGTAATGCAGTGATTTCCTCCAAATTGTGAATAACTTGAAATCACACTAAGTCCCCAAAGCCATTTTATTTTTAAAGTAGTGCCCATATGCTAAAGCCTTGAGGGAGGCAATTTTGTCTCTTTTAAGCTCAGTTTTTATCACTGCTGTAGCTTGTATGGACGTATTTGAATCCTCACATTCAAATATTTTCAAAGGTGGGAGCTCCATCCCCAAGTCCTGTTTGTCAAACTCCCATTTTCTCTCACGTTGTATAATTGTCTGTGTAGTGTTAGAGTAAAGGATTCATCTAACCCTTCATGAGAGGCAAGAATTGGGATACACAAGCAATGACTTATGAGCTATAACTAGTACAGTATTTTCCTGTTTTAATTTTTCTTCACTTGAAAGATGCTAAAACACTTTGAAAAATCTCATGCTCATGATCAGCTTTTTGGTGCATTGCACAAAACAAAAAGCAAAGGGGCTGAGGCAGCTCCCAATTTTTAGTAACAATACTGAGAGCAGTGAATAATGCCTCTGATCTCACCAGGCAAGAAAGAGGTACAATATGGCAAAAAGTTACACAGGGACAAAACCATCAGACAGAGATAAAACACTCAAACACTGTCCACATTGGACACTGAAACAGAGTTGTTTTCTCTTAAATCTGCTGAAGATGCCATTGTTATTCTCACAGCATTGCAAAACTTTAAAAAAAATTGCAGGACCTGCACTTGCTTTCTACCTGAGTTCTGCTCTGGGCAGGGACAGCCTGGCTCCCCACAGGGACCTTGAAAGCTGAGGTGGACTCAAAGCTCCACAAACAAGTCAACCTTCACAGGATATTTTTTTTTCTTGAGAAAACCTGTTTGGACTTCCAGCCAGAGAAAATTCTGGTAATTGATATAAAACCATCATGGAGGAGATCAGGGTGGCAAAGGGGATGGAAAAGGAAGGCCTGGCCTTAGGGGAGAGAGGAAAGATGGATGAGACTCTTCTTGGTTGGCCAATGACACCTTAGCAGATATAACATCTAATATGACATTCTTGTCATGTGTCTGCTGTTGTTTCTGTCTTCCACCTCCCTGATTTCCATGGGAAATGGTTAATCAGGACTCTTCTTTTTGTATCCCTATGCACTCCAGCATCCTGCCACCCTTTTTCCTGAGATCCAGAGGCGATTCCTTATTCTTTTAAGGAATGCACTTTTTGAGAAAGTGCAAACATTAATGATAAGAGGGGTCTGCTCCTTCCCCTCCCCAAGCTGTGAACATTTCCTTTTTTTTACTGTTACAGAAACGATGAAATCACATCAACTGAAGATAATAAAATCATATCTAAGAAGAGTCCAGATTTTGCTAAGTTTACAGCCTTTGAAATATTCAGGCACATAATGGCAGCCAAATGAAGATCCTATTCTAGAAAACATCCAGGTTTTAGTCAAAGACACCTAAGGATATGCTGAAATGCCTTTTTTTCAGGAAACAGTGATTTGAACAGAAGCTCAGCACTTCCCTGATCACAGGCCAGCATGGATCCAGCCCCCAGGGTCCCTTCCTATGGAAACACTAGGCAGAGAGACTCCTGTTCGAAGGAGGTCAGGTTTTGAAACTGGAACTGACCTTGAGCAGCCAAGACTCCCCTTTCCCTTGCAGCTTTCAAACACTTTCTATTAGAAAACAACACAACGACGTATATTCTAATTCTTTTCTGCTAAATGTCCTTAAAAGCCTGGAGCTGTTCCTGTTCTCACTAAAACACAGGAACTGAAGGTGTTTGAGAGACAGGACCGTCCCTGGGCCCCTCTTTCTTTGCCTTTCTCATATAGAGGTAGTTCTGCTATCAAACCTAAACCATTTTCAGCATGTAAGAGTGATTTTCATCATCAGAGGTAGCAACTATAAACAACTTGTGTGTTTCTGGGAAACTTTCTGTGGGATAACAAAGGGCCCAAGCAACTGCCCAGGCACATTCAGCTTGCTGCCATCTCTCTGGAGAGGAGAAGGAGTAGATGTCAGGGCGAGGGGTGCAGTTGCTTGCAAGAGGGGGAGAGCAAGGACTAGCCGTCTGCCATTGTCACTTCTAGGAGAAAGGAGAAAAGCAGGAGGTGCCTGCTGGAACGGATGCCCTCAAGAGGGTCCAGATCCCACATCCCAGCCTAGGGTCCGAACATGTATCCAGCTGCTACAATCAGAACCCCTACCCAAACAAAGATAGGCTTTCTTTCCTATTCACATAAAGGGGGGGCTGTTTAGATAAGCCCCACATCATAAATGCATTGTGATACTCAAAGTGAGAATAGCACTTTTCCCTGCAAGAGCAGCTGCTCTTTTATGGAGGTTGATAGGTGAGAAAATGGAAAAATTTTACATTTCATTTAAAATTGAGCCACAGAGCTTTCTAAATCAATATTGGTGCCCTCAAATCTCAGACCAAAAAATACCTGTCAAAGGAAGAGAATGACTGTTCTCATCATTCTAGCCATCAAAGTTATTTTGATCGAGTCTGTGTGTATTTTTAATAACGATTTTCCTTCTCCCCCAAAGTATTGTTATGCACTTGAAGGTAAAATTATACAAAAAAAAGGAGCAACTTTCTGAAAAACTGTGAGAACCTCTGGGACAAGATCAACCAGTATTTTGTCAACTCAGGATCTTGAATTATATGTGTGACAGAAGGTACTGTGAGTGTGGCTCTTCAGAATACAAATAGTTTTCATATATTTATTTTAACAACATATAACAGTGGCAAGACTAAAAAAATCACAGTTTTCTGTTTGCCATCTTTAACATTAATTATTGTGAAGATGAAATATTTATGGCATTTTTGTTCCAATGTGAACAGATGGAAAAGACTTCCTCAGTGCTATTAAAAGCCTCTGTAAGAACGAGAATTTGAACTTAAAAGAACAACAATCTTGAAATTGTCTCAAAGTGTTTCGTATATTGTCCAAGTCATGCAGAGATTTACACAAGAAACCTCTACCAAAACCAGCTGGAATCAGGGAGAGGGGAAAGCAAACCTGCCTAACAGCTTTGTCACACTAGGCTTGTAGCATTGTTCCCAGTAATCAGCAGTGTCCTACTACAAATATTTAAAATTAAAAAAAAAAAATCCAAGAAGTGTTACTTAGAATTTATCAAAAACAGCTATTCAATTTAGAATATGTGCTAAAAAAGCTTTGCCAAACCGGAATACTTTTGTCCATGGCATGTACAAAGTTATGGATAAGGCACATATTCTAAAGGATGAATCTGCATGATAGAAGATAACAGCAAAGAACTACTACACACAGATTGGTGACAACATTATTTTAAACCGTGTTAGTACATTTAAAGGAGGGGAGGCTGCTGGTCATGCATCGTATTTATAACTGTATTTACACACTTGTATATCATACCTTTATTTAAATATTTCATGCATAATTGTCATTCTCAGGAATGTGACTAAGATCAAAATGAAATACCATTATTTTTGTCAGAAATTTTTTATCTAACTTTATTATTATTCAAGATTCTAATTTATTATTCACAATTACAAAATACAGTCCTCCTGAAGTGTAATTTTGCATAAATTTTGTTCAAGCTATTTCAAAAAGACAGTGATATAATGCAGATCAGCCAATAGTCACACCAGCAGCTACCTCCTGACAGACTTCTCAGAGGTAATGAGAAGTTTTTAGAGTGTTCTCCATAAGAATATGGAGCACAATTTGGTGATTTAAATATATATGGCATTTTGCATACTTGCTATGAACCCAAATTCAAAACAGTGTCTTTTAACTTAAAAGAAAAATAATTTTACATCCATTTGTGCTCATTAGCATGCTTCTAAAATTTAAACCACTTCTCAAGTTTCTCAAATACTAAACCAAAAGGGCAGCTTTTAACCATGGTGCCATAAAGTTTTTAACTGTAAATGCAATTGTATTTAATGTGATGGTGTAAAATAACAAACAACATATGCTATAGCCTGTAAATAGGGAGAAACAATCATGGCAAAATGAAAGATCAGAGCAAAAACACATATCATTCACACATTGAAGATGACTGCTCCAATATTCTGCTGCTTCTTCTACTCTTTATGAAAAGCTATTCCGATTAATTGAATCAACATTTTACAACAGGATTTACACTAGAAACAAAACAGAACAGTGGAGATTCCATTTCAGATTTTGGCCAAAAAAACCCCTCAAACCCCCAAATAAAATTTTGCAGATCGGAAAGATATTTTAACAGATTGAAAATAAACAATTTTCCTTTTACTGCAATGTTGCCAAAATAGGGAAGAAAAAAGCCTCCAAATTGTCTCCATTAGTATGCAAATAGTGTCCTGTACATGTGACATATGATGTCAAGAATTCTATTTCATTTCTTACAGCTGAAGGAACAGAATATAGATGATGCTGCTATAGTAGGTTTTGAAGTGGAATTATACATACCTGCCCATACCAACTGTATTCCAGCATTGTAACCTCAGTGAACACCAAGTCTTAGAAAACTCAGAGC